CCTCCTTGGACACCGACAGCAGCCAGCAAGGACAAGCCCATTTCAGTTTCCTCGGGGGAGCCTATAGTGCCGTGGGACTCCCCCAGCACCCTGCTGCCTGCCTCCCTGGGCCCAGAGGAGTTTGAGCTGGAGGTCCTGGCGGGGAGCTCAGGTGTGGAGAGCTTCTGGGCGGAGGCAGCAAGTGGAGAGGAGCCAGCCCTGCCAGGAACCCCTGCAAATGGGAGTGCAGAGGAGGGTGAGTTGGAAGCTCGTGGTCTCATCCAGGTCACTGTGTTTGTGCTCAGGAACCAGGGGCTGGGGTAGGCCAGAGCTGGGAGGAAGGATTGTTCTTGGGTGCCTGGGAAGGTTTCTAGCAGGGGATGATGTTGAAGGCGGGAGCTCATTAGGCAGAGTTGAATTACAGAAAGCGTATTCCTGGCAGAGGCACAAGCCTGGGCAAAGGCCAGGAGGTGAAGCTGCGTTTGATGTGTTTTATGCGCAGCGAGTAATGAGGCAATGATGAGGTGTTGGGCGGAGTTTGGTGTTGGGGATGAGTACAGTCAGCAAATCATGTTCATGACCACTCTCAGCTGACAGTGTTGTGTGATGCTGGGGTCTTGCTTTCAGTGACGCCTCAGTCTGGGGAAGACAGAGCTGGTTACAGGCAACCCCCCTGGGGTGGGGCCGGAGGGAGGAGGCATGGCAGGGAGGCCTTCCTGGACAAGTGTTGAATTGCAGCTGGAATTCAGTGGTGCAAAACGTGGGGGGGGCCTCAAACCACAGGTAAAGTGGGTGCTGGGAAGGGGTGGGAGTGGTGGGCATCACCCCCATTTAGTAGACAGCAAACTGAGGCTCAGGGAGGTATGTCACTACCCAGCTAGTCAGTGGTCAAACCTCAATTGGCACCCAAATCCACATGTGCCTTGGTTGCTCTATGCCCAGCGGAGTCCAGAGAAAGCCATCACCCTGTTCTCCTGGGGACAGGTCTGCCCATAACTCAGCCTGCAAATTCCAGCCCTTTAGTTTTTAGGTCCTGCCATATTGAGCTATTCTTTCGGTCAAGTGAGCGTTAAAAAAAAAAACACAACAACAACAACAAAGAAGCAGCAGCTAATTAAAAGGCACCCTTTTTCTGAGTTGCAAAACACTCTTATTAACACGATTGGTTTTACAATCAATCAATAACACGTGCTCCTTTTTTTGAAGGCAAAGTGTCAGTGGTGATGGAAACAGCGGATGCAGGGTTTTATCACCCACCCTGTCATCTCTGGGTTGTGTCTGGGGCTGCATCTTCTTTTCTTAGATGCCCAGGAGGCAGGTGGACTCTGGGCAGGGGCACTTGCATCAATAAAGGCTTATGCTTATTGGTGACTGCCTTTGTGCTTGGGTTGGTCTGGAATCATCTTGGTTAATCTTTTTAATGTCCTTGAAGAGCAAGTTCTAGTACGATCCTAACTTTACAGATGGGGATACTGAGGCACAGGGAAGTCAAGTGACTTGTGCAGAGTCATGCAGCTGGGGAGTGTCAAGGATAACGTTTGAATCCAGGCTGTCTGACAACAGTCTCTGTCTCAATCACTGGGCTCTAAGATGCTTATTTCATCGACATAAAACAAAACAAAATGCCCTGAGGTCTTGGGGAGGGGGTAAGCTTGCCCAAGGCCAAAGGAACTAGAGAAGGAGTGGTCAGGTGGGAGGGAAACCACTAAGAAGTGTGCTAAGGAAAGTGTGTTGAGAGGAGCCCCCAGGGCCACGGCTGGATCTGTCTTGGACTCTGTTGGTTTTTCGGCTCCAGGCTCAAGCCATGGGCAGCCGGGGTGGAGGGAGGCAGCCAGTGCTGGGGGAGACCTGGGCGCCTACTCACCTACTGCTTGCAGCAGAAATGCTAATGAAGCCAAAAATAAATGCAGCACCAGCAAGCGACTGAGTCACCGCCAGTCCGTGGGCAGGTGTCAGCAGCTTGGGGCACCTGGTGGGGCTTACACGTCCTGGCGCCTGGCAGCCCCACGCATGTGCCCGCACGTGCCAGGGTGGCACCAGGCGCAGAAATAGCCACAGGCCTCTCTGGCCATCCGTGGTGGTACACGCCACTGCCCCAGGGACCGGCTTCAGTCACTGCGGTCAGGCCAGCAGCTACCTTTATGCAGTTAGCAAGCAACTATTGAGTGCTTGCTGTATTCCAGGCACCATGTTGAGACCGAGTCCCTTGTCCTCTGGAAGCTGACATTCTAGAACAATGCTCTAGAACTTTCCCAGTGATGGAAATGTTCTCGAGCTACGAAGTCTAATACAATAGCAACGAGCCATTGGTGGCTACTGAGCACTTGAAATGTGGCTAGTGTGACTGAGGAGCTGCGTTTTAACTTTTATTCCATTTTAATTAATTGAAACTTAAATAGCTGTGTGTGGCTGCCATGTGGAGCATCACCGCTCTGGGGGGAGGCATGGATAAGAAATGATGGTCCTAATAAATTGTACTGGAGGTTAGAAAGTAGTAAAGACAAAAGAGAAAAGTAAAGCAAGGGATGAGGGATGCCGGTGGGTGGGTTTTGGTTTTGGAAGGGGGGTTAGTATGCATTTGAGCAAGCCTGAAGGAGGTGAGAGAGGAGCCATGCAGAGATCTGGGGGAAAAGCAGTTCAGGCAGATGGAATAGCTTGTACAAAGGCCCTGAGGCAGGACCGTGTTTGGTGTGTAGGAGGAACAGCAGGGTCAGTGTGGCTGGAGCGGAGTAAGTGAAGGAGGGAGAGGAGGATCAGGCAGGGAGATATTGGAGAAGATTGCACCGGGCCCTGTGGGCTGAGGTAAGGATTTTGGCTTTTCCTGTGAGGGCAATGGGGAGCCATGGACGAGTCTAGACAGAGGAGGGACATAACCTGACTCAGGTTTACATGGGCTCCCTCTGGCAGCTGTGGGGAGAATAACCTGTTAAGGGTGAAGGCAGAGTCCAGAAGATCAGGGAGGAGGTGACTGCTTGTTATCGTCTCAGTTTCTTGTGGGCCTCCAGACCAGGACAAAACAGAAACAAATTCTAGGTTATAGGGACTGGAGAGAGGGCCTTAAACTGGGCTTCCAGAGCCCCGTAGGCCAGTCTTGGCTCTTGTACTGTCCTGCTGAGTGGCTTTGAGCTAGGCCCTGCCCTCCTCTGGGTCTCATTTCTGGTATCTTGCAGTGGATGGGTTGACACTGTCCTGACAAGGGATAGGGGTCACCTGGGGTACATGGGGGTTCTTGCTCTGCCCCTCTAAGACTCCAGGGTGGTCCAGAGACCACCCACCAAGGCCTCTGAGCCCCTGAGATGGGGAGGGGTGACCCTCTTGCCTCCAGGGAAACCCAGCTGAGGAATGAGAGAGGTGGACAGGCCCTCACATTCAACTCCCCCTGGATGCCCTATCCGTGTTAAGCAATGTTGAGACCCCTCAAGAGGCCCCAGGCTGATATACAGAGAGCCAGTCATGGCATTATGGTCAGGAATGGGAGAGCAGGATGAGCTATTTTTTTTTTTTTTTTTTTTTTTTGCGGTACACGGGCCTCTCACTGTTGTGGCCTCTCCCGTTGCGGAGCACAGGCTCCGGACGCGCAGGCTCAGCGGCCATGGCTCACGGGCCCAGCCACTCCGTGGCATGTGGGATCTTCCCGGACCGGGGCACGAACCCGTGTCCCCTGCATCGGCAGGCGGACTCTCAACCACTGCGCCACCACGGAAGCCCAGGATGAGCTATTTTTATTTTCATTTTGTAAATGAGGCAAATGAAATTCACAGAAGTAATTTGCCCAGGGTTCCCTAGTGAGTGGCAGAGGCAGGAATTGAACCAGCCTCTCTGACTGCACAGCCTATGGTTATTGCTGCTATAATCCACCACTTCTCCACACTGTAACCACTGAGGTTGCATCAGAAGAGGTTAGGCCACAGGGACGAAGGAAGTGATGGTTCCCACTGGTCCCAGTGCTGTTCATACCCCATCTATAACCTATGTCCACTTCTTTGCTCCAAAGTATGAGAAGCACAATGACCAGTTGGGTATTTCTAGAAAAATGGGGATAAGTCAAGGAGGGCACTTAAACCATGTTCTATGAGAAGACTTCCTAAGAGAAGCTGCAGGAATCCCATTCTAGTTCAGTCCAGGGAAGGACTTTGCCATAGCCAGGACATCCCACAGGTGCTTTGGCCAGTTCCTGGAAAGAGTAAGCTTATCACAGGGGCATGTGAGAGGAAGTTGGCAATCAGTTATTGGGAAGTTATAGAGGGGACTCCACAGAGAGGCGTGGAACAAGAGGGCCTTTAGGGGTCTGAGGTCTGGATTCCCTGGGAGGCAGACTTGGTGGTCTGACTCCTTCCCGTACTCCTGTCCATCCTGCAGTTCCCTTGGATCCCTGTGAGAACAATCCTTGCCTGCATGGGGGCACGTGTAAAGCCAATGGCACCATGTATGGCTGTAGCTGTGACCAGGGCTTTGCTGGAGAGAACTGTGAGATCGGTGAGTACCCCAGACTCAGGATCTGAACACAGACTTGTCTGACTCAGAGCCCTGGGGTCTATCCCAGCAGCCATCCCTGTGAGGATCAGGGATCACAAAATGCTGCCTTCAGATGCTCCCTTCCCCTCCCTCACTCCTTGGTTCCAGTAAATCAGCCTTAGCAACAACCATCTGAGGTTTCATCCTCAGGGCTGAGGCTCTGGTGTGCTGCCTCCCACTACTACCAGGCAGGGGTGGGGAAGGGGAAGACAAAAGGATGGTAAGTCTCATACTCCCACCAGAGAAGGGCCCCAGGGGATTGCCTACCCTCTCCTGGGTAGGCAGGGGTATAGGTACCACCACCAGAACTGCTGGAAGCTAGCTCCAAAGCCCAACACAAGACATATGACAAATTATGAAATTATAACAATAATTATAAATGATAAAATTTCTTGAGCTCTTCCATTGACTCTCCTCATAACCACCGCTGTGGAGGTGCTATTGTTATCACCACTTTGCAAAAAAAAAGAAACTGAATCTCAGAGAGGGCAAGTGACTTGCCTGGCATTGTACATGCTTCAGGCACTATCTACACAGGGATTGGGAGAAGAGGTGCTCAACTGATTGCTCCCTGTACCTACAAAAAACTTCGTGATTCTGTGCAAATCCTTATAAGTGCTCCACATTCTGAAGACCCTTCAGCTTCGACATTCTATGTGTCTGTTTGCCAGACCCACCTTCACTGTTCTGGAGTCAGGGGGAATGTCCTGCACACTCTGGCTTTCAGCCAACCCAGTGGCATCTCCTCTCATTGATGCTAATTCACATCAGTTGTGTGAGGTTCCACCCCCTTGACCTCCAGAGTCATTGAGCCATCAGTGCAGACCACCGCTGTTGTACTCAGGTCTAGGATAGATGGTAGGGTCATGAATGCATCTTCTGCCTGGTTCTCCATGGGGGCTGGGAGCCACGGGGAGGCTGACCCCTGACTCAGCCCCACCTTCCCCTCCAGATATAGATGACTGCATCTCCAGCCCCTGTGAGAATGGTGGCACCTGCATCGACGAGGTCAACGCCTTCGTCTGCCTTTGCCTCCCCAGCTACGGGGGCAGCCTCTGTGAGAAAGGTGAGTCTCTGCCGAGACCCCAGAAACAGTACCAGGAGCAGGGTTGGGTGCTGGACCACAAGCTTCCCACACATGGAGCTCCAGGTCTCTGCCTCTGGTTCCATGGCCGTGAGTCAGACAGGCAGGAGACGAATAATTTTCTTGAGATAAAATTCACATAACATAGAATTAACCTTTTTAGAGTGTACAGTTCAACGGCATTCAGTACATTCACAATGTTGTGCAACCACCACCTCTAGCTAGTTCCAAGACATTTTCATCAGCCCCAAAGGAAATCCTGTCCCCGTTAGCCATCACTCCCCATTCCTCCCCTCCAGCCCCTGGCAACCACTAATCTACTTTCTGTCTCTATGGATTTGCCTATTTTATATGTTTCATATAAATGTAGTCATATGCTCTGTGTCTTTTTGTATCTGGCTTCTTTCACTCAGCATGATGTTTTTCAGGGTTCATCCACATTGTAGGACGTGTCAGTGCTTCATTCCTTTTTATGGCTGAATCGTATTCCATTGGATGGTGCACATTTTGTTTATCCATTCATCACTTGATGGACCTTTGGGTTGTTTCCCCCTTGTGGCTAATGTGAATAGTGCGGCTATGAATGTTCATGTACATGTTTTTGTTTCAATACCTGTTTTCCATTCTTTTTGATTTTCCCCCCATTCTTTTTGGTGTACCCAGGAGTAGAATGGCTGGGTCATATGGTAATTCCGTGTTGAACTTTTTGAGGAGCTGCCAGACTGTTTTCCAAAGGGGCTACACCATTTTACATTCCCCCCAGCAATGCAAGAGGGTTCCATTTCTCCATATCCTTGCCAGCGCTTATTATTTTCCTTTTAAAAAATATTATAGCCATCCTAGTGGGTATGAGGTGGTATCCCATTGTGATTCTGATTTGTTTTTCCTAATGATTCATGTTGTTGAGCATCTTTTCATGCGTTTGTAGGCCATTTGTATATCTTTTGGGGAGAAATTTTTTTCCCAGGAGGGAAATTTTAGGCCTTCCTGAGACCATTTCCTGAGGTCCCAGGATGTGGCCAGATCAGAGAATGAGACATTAGAGTTGGGATAAGAGGGGATGGTGTAATGGTCTTCCAGTTGGATCTCTTCCTGCAACAGAGAAAAGAAGTGAATATGGGAGGAGGGAGGGGAAAATGTGGGGGGGCAGAGTGGGGGCTGGGGGATGGGCCCAGGGAGAGGGGTGATTTAGCCCCACAGTGACCTTGGATTGGGCCCTCTCTCTGGTGGGCTGGTGTGCTCACGGCTGGCAAGGCAGGCCTCGGCTGGAGGCCAGCCCCCTTCATGCTCCCTTTCCACCTCCCAGACACAGAGGGCTGTGACCATGGCTGGCACAAGTTCCAGGGCCACTGCTACCGCTACTTTGCCCATCGACGGGCATGGGAGGATGCCGAGAGGGACTGCCGCCGTCGAGCCGGCCACCTGACCAGCATCCACTCACCCGAAGAACACGGCTTCATTAACAGTACGGACTCTGGGGTGGGCAGGGGTGGCCTTTACAGTCCCTTTGTCGGGGGTCCCCCCCGCACCAGGGTCTTGAAGACGCTACCTTTCTGAAGCTATGTTCATTAATGCAAGCCCTGACCACTTATTAATTCAAGTGTCTATTTATTCACTTGTCAGTTCATTCATTCACTTCATTCATTCTCCGACTATTTACTGAGCACCTGCTATGTGCCAGGCACTGTTCCAGGCACAGAGACACACATTGTCCTGTCCCTAGGGAGTGACGTTCTTGAAGAGGATATAGTCAAACAAGTAAATATCTAATTAAATAAGTCTATCCTAAAATTTAGCTGGTTCTCAGGGCACTGATGACAGTTAAAACAGGGCCAGGGGACAGAGGGTGATGGAAAAGCATCTGTGGTGCAGGGGATGAAATGAGGGAGGAGCAGAGATTTAGAGAAAGAGGGGTGTCCCATAAATTAAATCCAGCATTTATTGATTTACTCATTATTCCTTCTGCCCTTTTTCATCCATTTATTTATTCACATTTTCCCCATCCCATCCCCTGTTAATTCTTTAATTTGTTCATTCCCTGGTTCACTGGCTTTTTTCCTCTATGTAATCAAACACACATGCATCCAGCTGCTTCCTCCTCAGTGACTGATTGGCTCATTTAGATTCACATGCCTGCCCTGTCAGCCTTGCTCGCAGGCTCTCTTAGGCCCTACTCTCTCATTTCTGCAAAGATCTGACTTGTCTTTATTGTTTCCTCTGGCCTTTTGTTTAAGCCACAAATTGTGACAAGGCCAGGAGCCTAATTCCAGCCCTTTCCATGCCCCAACCCCACTCCCCAAGTATGAGGGCAGCCAGAGCCTCAGCCTGCTAGAGAATGGGGGGGACGTGGCCTCCAGCCCATGCCCCCCAGGCTGGCAGAGGGGCTGGGGTCCTCCCCTCCAGCTCAAACCCCAAACTGGGGGAGGGGCTCTGGGTACCCCCCCCTCCATTCTCGTCTTCATCCACTTCCCCTTCCAGCCCACCTTCAGGCTGGGGAGGGGGCTGAGTCTCCCCTCCCACACCCCCCACCTGGCCTCCAGCCAGCAACCTAGGCTGGGGGAGGTGCAAGTACCCAGCCCTCACAACAACCCACACCCCACAGGTTTTGGGCGTGAAAACACGTGGATCGGCCTAAACGACAGGATCGTGGAGAGGGATTTCCAGTGGACAGACAACACGGGGTTGGTGAGTGGTGGCAGCCTGGGGGCCTGGGGCCCTGCAGTCAGACTGTTGACTTGGGCCCTGCCTAGAATGGAGAGTTCTGGGTAAGCTGCAATGACCCGGCCCCCTGGCTTCACTTTAGTAAATTTTATATTATATCTTTTTCACCACAATTAGAAAAGAAATCCACCTCCTCTCCTCTGCCATGAGAACTGGCCCCCACTCTCTGACTACACTCGAACTGGATCAAGCAGCCCCAGCCCTCCTGGCCTCTGTTCTGTTCCTCAGACAGGACAAGCTCAGTCCCGCCTCAGGGCCTTTGCATTAGCTATTCCCTCTGCTTAGGACTCTGTTCCCTGCCTGCGTTGTTCTTATCCTTGAGTCTTCCTTCAGCTCTCCTGTTGCCTCCTCAGGGAAGCTCTCCTGGACTTCCAGTCTGAGGTCACCTTTTGTTCAACTATTTATCTAACAATGAATGACCCATGTGGAAAACAGACTGTCAGGGAGTGAGCTGGGGCAGGAGGACCAGGGAGGAGGGCACCACAGCCTCGCAGCTAGAGGAGGGTTGACTTGGACTGTAGTGGCAGCCACCCTCAGGGCAGGCAGAACAGTGCTCATTGTAGAGATGGAAACACTGAGTCCCTAAGAGTTTGAGTGGTCTGCCCAGGGGAATCCCACAGTGTCAGTGCCAGAGGCTGGGACAGGCTGCATGTCCCCTGAGCACCCCCTGCTCCCCATTCTTACAGCAATATGAGAACTGGAGGGAGAACCAGCCCGACAATTTCTTCGCGGGTGGGGAGGACTGTGTGGTGATGGTGTCACATGAGAGTGGGCACTGGAATGATGTCCCCTGCAACTACAACCTCCCCTATGTCTGTAAGAAGGGCACAGGTATGCTGCTACTCTCCCTCCCACCCCTTCTCCCCCAACCTTCCCTCCTGCCTATCACTGGTTCGTTGTTTTATTTAAGTTTGTAAATGTAGGAGTCAGTCCAGCCCAGTTTTCACTCTTCAGCACTATGTGAGGGTACCCATTTCCCCCCCACCCTTGCCAACTCTGTGTTATCAAACTTTTTGTTCTTTGTTCATCTAAGTCCTGAAAAACAGTATCTCATTGTTATCATAGTTTGCACGTCTGTGAGGATGAGAATAACCAGCTCTTCATATGTTGATAAGCTGTTTATATGTATTTGATTTCCTGTGACCTACCAGTTCATTTCCTTTGCCTAATTTTCTATCAGTTCATTGGTCTTATTGATTTGTAAGAGCTCTTTACATATTAAGGAAACATATATATGTATATGTATATTCTCAAGTCCACCTTTCTTATATTTTTCTTCATTGTTGCTTCTGTTTCTTTGCCAATTTTCATATCCTTTTTTTCCACTCATTTGCTCAGATTATTCTTGCCTCCCATCTCCTTCATTCCCATCATGCACAAGAATTAGGGGGTGAGATATGTCCAGGAGGTTCCTGCCCCTCAGCAGCTCCTGGTTTGGGTGGAGGAGACATTCACTTCTAGCCCTTTGAGGTCACAGCTGGGCAAAAGGTGGGACCTGTTGAGGGTTCATCTCAACAAGAGATGAAACCAGTTCAGCCCCAGTCCCATCCACTTCTTTAACTGGAGGTTCCTCTGTCCCCAGTGCTGTGTGGTCCCCCTCCAGCAGTGGAGAATGCCTTGCCCATCGGTGCCCGCAAGGCCAAGTATAATGTCCATGCCACTGTACGCTACCAGTGTGACGAAGGATTTGCCCAGCACCATGTGGCCGTCATCCGATGCCGGAGCAATGGCAAATGGGACCGGCCCCAAATCGTCTGCACCAAACGTAAGTGGCTTCCCCCAGACACCCCGACAAAAGTTTCCAGCTACTTGTAGTCTCCAATTAAGCATCTCATGACTACACACATTGATCTGGTTGAATGTCTGCCTGATAATATGGCCTTGCCGATAAGTGAGGACTTACTAGCTTGCCTGGTGTTCCCTCCATTTCCCCCATCCCCCGAGGAAGCCTGTTCCATCAGGGCACCCACCTCTCATCAGCTTTTGCCACGTCCCTGTCGTCCCTCACTTCCCTGCAGCCAGACGATCCCATCGGATGCGGCGACACCATCACCACCACCAACACCACCACCAGCATCACCATCACAAATCGCGCAAGGAGCGCAGAAAACACAAGAAGCACCCAGCAGAGGACTGGGAGAAGGAAGAAGGGAATTTCTGCTGAAGAACCAGGCAAAAGAAAGCACAATCCCCTTCCCACACCTCCCCTGGAGGCTTCACCTGGGGAGGCAGAGCCCAGAGAGAAACAAGAGGGTCCGGAAGCCCCTGAGTCCCAAACCACATCCCCCCATACATAACCATTTGTAAAAAGCTCCTCTCTCCTTTTTCTTACATATACAAGGTCCTCTTGGCAGGTGTAGCCATGTGTCTGAAAAGTCAGTTCTAGTCAGGCTGAACTCTGGGAGCATCTCTCAGTGGAGGGAAGCACAATCGGCACAGATCATTCTTTGCACTGGTTTAGTCTTTTGTTGGCAAGGCTGACTGCCAGTTGTGGAAATAAGGCTGTGATAAGGGTGCAAGAATGTGTGTTTGGATTTGCACTAAGGAATTGCTTTTACCACCAGAGATTCAGATTTAGTAAACTGTCGGATGTCCTAAATGCAGGCTGAAGCCTATAGTGAAGGTCACTGGCTTTGGGTGTAGAAAATTACATGGACACACACTGCTTGAACTTGACGACTGCTCGTCCTTCACCTTGGACTTCAGCCTAAGTCAGTCCTTAGTCTTGGTGGATGAACTGACTGTGGAATTCCTATGTATTGAACTTCAGGAATGTTTTTAGAACAACATCCCTCCGTGCCCTCAGAGTTAGGGGTCAGAATAGTCAGAGAAATTTGTGGGCAATGAAGGGAAGCTGTATTGCTTGCCCTCCCAGGTCTAGTCCAGTGCTGAGATTTGGTGGTTCTGCATGTGTGGTGAATTTTATACACACACACGCACACGCACACACACGCACGCACGCACACACAGATGAGAGGATGTTTAGGGCTCAACGAACCCAGATTTCTTCCCCCTCCATCTCTCAGGGAGACAAAGAACCTCCTTCCTGGGCCAAGGAGGTGCCAAGTTTTCTAGCTCGGTGCCCATATCCATCCCTCAAGCAGACATTGGTAGTGCCCCTGCCATGGGTCCCACCCCTACCCCTACTCTATTCCTGTCTCCTCCATTCATCACCTGGTGGACTAGAAATGCTTAAAACTTGAAGTAGTGACGTCTACCTGCCGTCATGTAGAGAGATGTGCAGTGTTAAAACTGAAACACACACACACACACACACACACACATTTTTCTCTTAGTTTTTAAATTTTTTAAGCAGTAAAGAACTCACCTTGCCTTCCTCCCCAGAATCTGAAACCTGTAAAAACTTTCCCCAAGCCAGAAGTCGGGATTCAGCTTCCTGATCTCTGGCAGGAAAGAACCACAGCTTTTCCTCCATGTCCTTTGTCCACTCTCAACCTCTCTAGTCTGGGTAACATCTGTGGATTAGTGTTAAAAACCACAGTGGAGAATGGCCCTCTGCAGGAAAGAAAAATAAGCAAATATACAGTCCATCTAAGGGTTCAGTAGAGAAAGAAATGTGTTGACTGAGCCTATATCCCTCCTGGGAAGTACTAATCATAATTGACAACTACGGAGTAGGTACCATGCTAAGGACTTACACACACTGCCTCCGTGAATCTTCTCAACAGCCCAGTGACTTAGGAACCATTATTTTCCCATTTTACACAAGACAAAACTGAGGCTCAGATAAGAGAAAGGCCCTGGCTTGCAAGACAGGAATAAGGATTCCGTCCTGCCTCTGGCTGACTCCTAACCCTGCTCTCTATTTTGGGGGGAAGGAATTGAAACATAATCATGCTCTAACACACAGCAAGATTTAGGAAAAGATTGAGATGTGCAAACTAGACCCGCATCCTAGACCATGGTCTTTAGTGTTCCCTGCTATAGACATTATCCACTGTTCCATGTTATGGTTATTGTTGAGAAAACCCAGGGATATAGGTTTGCCTTCTAGGTTTGATAATTCCTCTTGGTTTAAGAAATATAAAAACAATAACACATCTTCAGTCATCCATGTCACAAAAGAATTTTCCTTTGTTTGGAGTGGGGGGCTCTGGGGATGCAACTTTTTTTGGGGTGTCTTGGTTTATGCTCCTTACCCTTGACCACCTCAGCCCCTTGCCCTGCCCCGACCCCAGCTCCATGGTGGGAGGGGGCTCTGATATTTTCTAAGGTGGGTGGTTTGTCTTTTGGTCTTTCCCTTTGGGATGTGCGTGTGTGTTTGCGTGTGCCGCGTGTGTGGCATGCGTGTGAGTGTGTGTGCGCGTGAACAGCTTTGGATTCTGTTGGTTATGCTGTCAGCTGAAGTGTTCCGTGGGTCTGTGGTATCTGACACTATGGACATTAATGTACTCCTTGGACATTTTAATAAAATTTTTTAACAGTTCAACCTGCCTCCTGACACCTTCATTCGTTCACTCAGCAAGGACTTACTGGGCAGCTATTATATGCCGTGTACTGTGCTGGGTGCTGGGGAGATAGTGGCGGAAAGAACAGATGTGACCCCTGGGAGGTGGTCAGGGGAGGCTTCCTAGAGGAGGTGAATGGAATCTAAAGGATGAATAGCATTAACTAGACGAAGAAGGGAAGAAAGGAAGAGAGTTTCAGGCAGAGGGAAGAGTAAAAGTGAATATCTTCTTGCAGAAGGGAACATGCTTCATTTGAGAAACAGCAAAGAGTCCATAGCAGCTGGAGCGGAGTGACAGAGGTAGACAGTGGAGGGAGATGAGGTCAGAGAGGCAGAGGATGGATCACTCAGGGCAATATGGGCTGTAATGAGAAGTTGGGGCTTTATTCTAAAGCAATAGTGGCAAAAAACAGCATAAACAAGGTCAAAAGGCGAATGCCAAGCTTGGAAACAATTCTTCAAATCAGAGATAAAGGAATTTTTGCCTTAATATATAAAGAGCTTCTACAAATCAATATGAAAAAACCCCAATAATCCAATAGCCAAACGGGCACAGGATATGAACAAAAAGCTCAAAGAAAAGGAGATACAGATGGCTCTTAAACTACAACACATGCTCAACAAAATAATACACAATTTTCTGATCACCACGATACACAAATAAGGACATATAAATAAAAGGGAATAAACAAATAAATCTCATAAGAGAGGGGCCTTGCATATTTCAATGATGACAATGTACCTGAACTGAGAATGATTTATGATTTACTCAACTGCCTGCATCTAAAGTCAAAGTGGAGGATAGTCAGCTTCATATAACAGGTGAATTGCAAGTGATAACCACAATGAGATATTATTTTTCACCTATCAGGTTGGCTAAGGTAACAAGTGGTAACACATGATGCTACTGAGGACCTATGGAAATAGGCAAGTACATCTGTTGCTGATAGGTTAGAAATTGGCCTCACCTCTAAGAAGAGTTGGAGATCACTAACAAAATGGCAAGTTTTAACCCCTTGATCAAACAATTCCTGCTATCATCCTCCAGTTATACCTGCACTTATGTGATGACCATGGTACTTATTACTAACAGCAAAATATGGGAAACAATGTAAATGTCCACCATTAGGAGACTGATTACAAAGATTATGGTGCATCCAAACAGGGACTACTTTGCCAACCTTCAAAAGAATGCTGGTGGGGGAAGGGGGCGGATTTTTACATGCTGAAGGAAGCCCGTCCCCAAATATATTGTTAAATAAGAGTTACTTTAAAAGTGTATATGAGGGCTTCCCTGGTGGCGCAGTGGTTAAGAATCCACCTGCCAATGCAGGAGACACGGGTTCGAGCCCTGGTCCAGGAAGATCTTGCATGCCACGGAGCAACTAAGCCTGTGCGCCACAACTACTGAGCCTGCGCTCTAGAGACCGCAAGCCACAATTACTGAAGCCCGTGCACCTAGAGCCCACGCTCCCCAACAAGAGAAGCCACTGCAATGAGAAGCCCGCGCACCGCAACAAGAGTAGCCCCCGCTCACCACAACCAGAGAAAATCCCGAGCGCAGCAACGAGGACCCAATGCAGCCAAAAATAAATAAATAAATAAATTTATAAAATAAAGTATATATGGCACACAAATGTTCATAGCAGCATTATTCACAATAGCCAAAAGGTGGAAACAACCCAAATATCCATTAACTGATAAAAGAATAAACAAAATGTGATATATATACATATATATGAACATTATTCAGCCATAAATATTATACTGAGTGAAAGAAGCTAGATACAAAAGGACACATACTGTAGGATTCCACTTATACAAAATGTCAAGACGAGGCAAATCCACAGAGATGGGAAGTAGATTGACAGTTATCAGGGCATGGAGTAGGGAGGGAGGAATGGAGAGTGATGGCTTAATGAGTATGAGATTTTCTTTGGGGTGATGAAGATGATAGGGGTGATGGTTGAACAACACTGGGAATGTACTAAATGCCACTAAATTGAAGACTTTAAAATGTTTACAATGGTGAATTTCATATTATGTGAAGTTGGACAACATAAAAAATATATGTTGCATATTTTCATTTGTATAGAAGTGGGGGGAAACAATATATGCATGTTTGATTGAATGAATATAAAACATCTTTTGAAGGACATGTAAGAAATTTTAGATGTCGCTGAGAAGTACACTGGGCGCTGGAAGACAGGAGTGAGACATTTTTCTGAATAACTAGCTTCAGGAGTGGCTCTACCCTGGTTGCCATCCTTAGGTCTCCTCCAGGTGGACCCTCAAAGACCTGCACTCCAACAGTGCAGAGACCCAGCAGAAAGAGGGTTCCCTTGGTCCTATTGGTCCGTCAAAATCCCAGGCAGTCTCATTGGTCTGCCTGGGTCCATGTCCACCCCTGGACCAATTAGGGTTGCCCAGGAAGATGAGCCACAGCACTCATTGCCCAGTGGAGTCAGCCCCTCTGACTCACAGGATGAGAGGAGGGAAACTTACATACCCGAAGCAAAATCAAGATACTGGAACCCATGGAAGGGAGAAAGGATGTCAGCAGGGAAGAGGCGGGATGAAAGAAATCTCATGCACTCATCTCCAGAAAAATGCCCCTACCATTCCTCTAGTCAAGGAAGCTAAGGCACAGCTGGAGCCCAAGGCAGTCTAACCAAGGGACTGGACCCTGGCTTCAGATGAGTGGTCGGAATCTCTAGGAGTCCTGTCCCATCTGACATTGAAGCATGAGCAGTTAACGACCACCCCACGTCTACAACCATATCACACATTTACACTTTTTTCCTCTTTTCCCTTTCTTTGTATGCCCGAAACTTTCAATACTCCTCGGCCCACACTCTCCCTACCCACACCTCCACACCCACCCCAGGGAAAACTTGCAACTTCTCTGCCTTCCTGATGCAGGAACTCAACACCCAGTTTCACACACTTCATTCCCAGGGGACTGAGAGGAATCGCTGGATTGGTTAGTGACCCAATTAGGACAGGGCTGAGAAGGGCCAGACCCATGGGAGGTGGCTCAAGGGACAGAGTGAGGGAAGGACAATGTGGGGGAAGGGAGGGGAGAGAGATTGGGGCTAGGGAATGGTCCTGAGGAATGAGAGGAGACGCTTCCCAACCGAATCATCACCAAGCACCCCCAGCTGAAAAACATTTTGTCCACCAAAGTGCATTTTTGAAGTAACTACCCACGAGCTGTCTCATTTTCTCATTCATAAAAAAAAAAAAATTTATTGAGCCCCTGCTGTACACTTCGCACTCACTGGGACCTTAGAACAGCCTTGATACAGAGGAGGAAATAGGATCAAGGGTTTTGTCACTTGGTCATAGAGGCAGGATTCGAACCCAGGCACACCTGGTTCCAAAACCCACAGATGGGTTTCCTGGAGATGGATGTGACAATATGGAGGGCTCCAGGAGGGACCCCAGTGCCTCTCCAGGCAAGACCTCGAAACTGGGGTCTCCAAAAGCTGGGGTGGCCTTGTTCATGGACAGTCTCCCTGAGCTAGCTATTAACACTGGGGAGTTTGGGTCCTGACTTCTTAGCACAAATTGCCCTTTAGAACATGGAGCTCAGAGAGGATTTTGAGGTTTAAAGACAATTCAACCTCTCCTGGACCTCTAAGAAGGAAAATGTGGGGGGAGGGAGGATAGAAAAGGAGAGAGGAACTCAGTGAGAATGGGGATGTGGTCTCAGAGAGGAAGCGGGAGCCTAGTGCTTGCATAGCACAAAGGGTAGGGGCACGCCAGAGCCTCAGCTTGTTCATCTGGGTGCTGCAAGGGTGTCTCGTGAACAGCTGTCGTCTGGGATATAGTTAGCGTGCAAACGGAGGATATCCAGCAGCTCCAGAAGTCCACCTGGGTCTGAGATGCTGCCTGGAGCTGGGCCCATCTGGTGAAGGGGCAGCCATTAAGCCCTATGGGGCACAGTTCGGGCCCATGGTAAGAAGTTCCTGAGAACTGGGAAGTCAGTTGTCTTGTGGACGACGTTGACAGTCTCTATGGTGACAGTTTGGAGGGGCGGACCCTACCGACAAGGGAAAGCCTAGGGGGACAGGTGTTCTGTTACCTCAGACACCGGAGTGTGGTCTCCATGGCAACAGCTGCGGGGGGGGGGG